TCTCTCTCTCTCCTCTCTCTCTGTCTCTCTCTTTCCTCCCTCCCTCCTTTCTTCCTTCCCTCCCTCCCTTCCCATTTCCCCTTCCCTCTCCCCTTTCCCCCCCTCTCCCGTATTCCTTTGTCCGTCTGTTTATCCCCCGCGTCCGCCCCTGTGATGCAATCTCACGGCCGGCCCAAAGTCGTTGAGAAAGAGATCACTGTTTACAAGTTTGATCGTAAATATTCTACTTTTAAATAAAACTCAAGATGGACATTTCCTTTAGGTAAAATTACTGAATGATATTGAAATTTCAGCATGTTACGGTACGCGATGCACTTTGAGAAAAATCACAGGTGAAAAAAATGTGACGTCATTGTCGAGTGAATGGAAATCTGTGACGTCACTCATCTCGGCGTCCCGGATTGGTCGCTTACGCACCGATATTCCCTGATTTATGTTCTGGGGGTATTTAAAACCGTCTCGTCTGCTTTTTTTCTTTTCTCTTCTTAAGATATTACTTTGGCAACTTCATCTAGCTGTTTAGCTTTTGGTTTTTGATACCTAAACTGATATTTTAATGAGGTATTTATGTACTGCGAGGCTTTCTCCTTTTTTTTGAAGTTTAATTAATGATATATCGCAGGTCGAGATTCCCAACATACCAGGTAGTCGGAGGTAGCGCACCCTCGGTAGGGGGGAGTAGGGGGGGGGTGGCATGTAACAGATGGAAATCGCGGGAGAGAACATTAGAGAGGAAGGAAGAGTAGAGGGAGATAGAGAGAAGAGAAAAATAGTTTTCCCTTCTTTTTTTACCTCCCTAGCTGTGATATCGATCACGGTTTATCTTCGTATTTTGAACATTTTCTTTCGTTCTTTCCCCTCTACCCTTTCATCCTCTCCCTCTCCTCCCTTCTTCCTGTCTCTCTGCTGTCCCTATTTCTGTCACCGTCTCCGTGGCCCTCTATTCCCCCCTCCCCCCATCCCCTCCTCTCGCCCTCCATACCCACCCGTCAACGGGAAGGTTATGGGCAGTCATTACAATAATACGAGAAGCACCTTTACCCACCCCTGCTAACCCTTCAGAGAGAGGAGGGGGGGGAAGGGAGACAGACTGGGAGGGAGGGTGGGAGGGAGAGGGACGGGGAGAGGGTGAGAGGGGGAGGGAACGGGAAGAGGGGGAGGGAGGGAAGAATAGAGAGGAGGAGAGGGAGGGGAGGAGAGGGAGGGAGGAGGGAAGAGGAGTGAGGAGAAGGAAGAGGGACGGGGAGAGAGGGTGGGAGGGGGATAGAGGATTGAGGGAGAGAAGGGAAGGGGAGGGGAGGAGAGAGGAAGGGAAGGAGTAGGGGAGGAAGGGAGGGAGGGAAAGAGTAGGGGGCAGGGAAGAGAAGGACGTAAATACGAAATCAGGAAGGTGGAAGGGTGGGCGAGAGGGGCGAATGAGGAAGGAAAAAAGTAGGGTGGAAAGAGGGGTGAGGGAGGGAGGAAAGAAAGGAGTAAATGTGATGGAGAAGTGGAAGCTGGAAGGGACTGGACGAGGGATAGAGGGGAAGAAATGCGAGATGAAGGAAAAAAGGAGGGAGCGCTGGGAAAAAAAAAAACGAAGGAGAGAGGGACGGCGGAGGAGGAAGGAAGTGAAGAGGGAGGAAGAAAAAATGGAGGGAGGGACGCGAGAGAAAAGAAAGGAAAGAGGGAGGAGGAAAAAGGGAAGGGGGCGGGAGAGAAAGAAAAGGAGAGAGGGAAGAGGAAAACCGAGTGGGGGGAGGGGACGGGAGAGAAAGAAAGGGAAGAGAGACGGAGAAGAGGGGGAGGGAGGGACAGGGAGAATAATGAGAGAGAGAAGACAGATCCAGGGGGAGGAAGGGACAGGGGAAGAGGAAAGAAGGAGGAGAGAGGAGAGGAGAAAGGGGGAGGGACGGGGAAGGAAGGAAAGAGGGACGAAAAGGGAGGAAGGGGAAGGTGTGGGAAAGCCGATAGTGGACCGAGTGATTTCAGAAGAGAGGTAGAAATATGTGCGTTATTTTTTTTCGCTTTTCATTTTCTGCTTTTGGGGTCTCCTGCTGTGCGTTGTGTGCTGTATGTGTGATATACGCAGCGTAGGAGAGGGCTGGTATGTGCAAATATATACCAGGGGGTTTGCTTGTTTGTGTTTGTGTTATATTTAATGTCACTTTTATTGTGTTTGTGTGGGTATACGCACCTTCTCGCTCGTTCCTCCTCGAGCATATATTGACTTGCACAAATGCACATACAGACTTGCACGCATGCACTCTTTTCATTCGCTTTCTCTCTCTCTCTTTCTGCCTCTGGGTCTGTCTGGTCTGTCTGTCTGTCTGTCTGTCTGTCTGTCTGTCTGCTCACTCTTCTCTCATCATCGAAGGCCCTCGTCTCGTCTCACGTCTCTCTCGTCCGTCAGTCAATCCATCTCTTTTACCTCGTCTCTCTCTCGTCGATCTCGTCTTCCTCTCTCTCTCTCATATCTCCTCTCACTCTCTCTCTCATCCATCTCTTTTC